AGTGACTGGATTTGCCTTAGGGATACCTTCTTCAGAGGGAGCAATTCCTGTATGACTTTCTTCATGGCTACCAGCTTGTCTTTTGGCAAGCTGGAAGTTTGGGAAACCGTATCCAAAAGGATACCCAGGTAAGTAAGCTGGGTCGAAGGACCCTCGGTCTTTTCCGCAGCAAGCGGAACCTCCAGTTCCTGCGTAAGGTCAGCAAAGGCTCGCAGCAACACCAAGCAATTGCCGGTATCGCAAGCCGAGGCCAATAAAAAATCATTCAAATAATGTGTGACTCCTCCCAGTCCGGTTTTAAATTTGAGGGCCCTCTCCAAAAACGTGCTGAAAGATTCAAAAGCGGCACACACTATTGAACAGCCCATAGGCATGGCTTTGTCAAAGTAATATTTGCCCTCAAACTGGAAACCTAGCACCACTGCTTCCCTATCAGCGCCTTCTCTAAAGAAAATAAAATAATAAATTAAATTAAAAGTGTCTATATACGGTAATTAAATTAGGTAAATTAAATAACCAACAAATTGAGTCAAAGGTAAGTAGGACAGGCTGGTATCTATCTATATCTATCATCTATCTATCTATCTATCTATCTATCTATCTATCTATCTATCTATCATCTATCTATCTATCATCTATCTCTATCTATCTATCTATCTATCTATCTATCTATCTATCTATCTATCTATCTATCTATCATCTATCTATCTATCTATCTATCTATCTATCTATCTTTATTCCTAAAGAATAAGCAAGGTGCACCTCCTCAAGCGGGCCAGCAGGGGTCACCAGCTGGCCCAGGCTCAGTGGGAGGAGGCGCAGTACCAGGCTAGGCCACCGGGGGGAGCCCGGGCGCTCAGCCAAGCTGCAATAACTCTGCACAACCACAAGGGGGCCAGCAGGGAGAAACGCACCGCAGCAGGAAAAGTCTCCTTCAACGGAGCTGCGTACAGAAAACAGGTAAAATGGCGAGCGCAATACAGCTTGCAGCCCCCCGGCACCCATTGATATTGGGCGTGCAGGGAGCCTGAGGCCCAGCGCAGCAGCCACCGGCCAGTTCTTTTGCTAGGCAATGCCTGCAAGGATTACGGCTGCAAAATCGGCTGCCTGCACTCTCGCGCCACATGCTCTGGGCAGCAAAATGCCGGGGGAAGGCAATTCTCCCCACAACGTCTTCTGCTTGCCCCCCAAGGCCTTCAAGGAAATGCCCCCCCAAGAAGCAGCCACTGCCGCAGCCCCAAGGAGAGGCTGGGACCCCGCGAACCGCCCCCGCGGTGCTGGAAGAGCCGCGAAAGGTAAGAGGGGGGGAAAGCGCCCTTGCAACTGCCCAAAATAAAATTAACAACAAAAAACCCCTAATAAAGGAAAAAACGCTCGGCGGGTATCAGTGAGGCCAGAGAGGCCCGCTGTAAGGTTCCTCCGCCAGCTGCTGGACTACCGGGCCTCGGGACGGGCCTGGCGTCCACAGAAACGCCAAAGCTGGGGTGCAAGAAGCAGCTACCAGCCCGTGAAAGAACCGGCCTCCAAACGCCTAAATAGAGCCTCAGACGGCCGGGGGCCACCCTCTGAGCCCGGCATTTTCGTCCTGCTAAAATATTTTTAAATTTTAAAACTGGGTTGAAGGGAAGAATACAATGGGATGGGGAAGGGGAAGGGGAAAGGGAAAGGGAAGGGAGGAAAGTACTAAAGGGAAGAAGCAAGGGAGAAAAGTACTTAAAACCTAAGGCCAAGGGAAAAGGAAAGTAGATTGCAAGCAAACTCATATACAACCGTCTCCACAGCTCCTGATCCGGTGAAAAACGGCCAAGAGGACGCCCAACATCGGGCGTCCTGTATTTAAAGACTCTGACCCCTCCTCCAAATTGGCAACAATCAAAACTCCCCAGAAACCCAATTTTAACCACTTAATGGCTTGGGTTCATCCCAAATCTGCCCAGTAACAGCAGGGTGGCTTGTTCCCCCAACCGCAACACGTGCTCTCTGTTAGGGAGAACACGCTTTATAGGGAACTAAGGTAAAAATCATAACAGGAGTCTATGACATGAAAGAGGCTGTGCAGTACAAATACAATCTGGTTCTCATTTCATTATCAGAAAATAATTCAAATTTATTTCTGCTTCCAAGTATCTTTATTATTTTAACCATTTTAACCATTTACACCAGAATACTTTGATAATAAATACTCACAATATAAAAAGGAAGAAAAGGAGGATAAAGAAACAACTAATAACAAACTACAACAAAGAGAAAAATATTATATAGATAATTATCTTAACCACGCATATCTGTTTAACAATATAGCTAAATTATATCTAATCTTATTCCCCAAATATGTGTCATTCCAGGCCATAATAAATAAGGACCATGTTTCCATACAGCTACTAACAGGCACAGCCTCCTCTCTTTTATAAAATGTTACCGTATTTTTTGCTCTATAAGACTCACTTTTTTCCTCCTAAAAAGTAAGGGGAAATGTGTGTGCGTCTTATGGAGTGAATGCAGGCTGCGCAGCTATCCCAGAAGCCGGAACAGCAAGAGGGATTGCTGCTTTCACTGTGCAGTGATCCCTCTTGCTGTTCCGGCTTCTGAGATTCAGAATATTTTTTTTCTTGTTTTCCTCCTCCAAAAACTAGGTGCGTCTTGTGGTCTGGTGCGTCTTATAGAGCGAAAAATACGGTAGTTCTAATAATGTTACGATTTTTCATATTTCATCAAGCCATTGTTATATAAACGATGCTGTGGTTTTCTTCTAAGAGTTTGCAGTTGCTGATTTTGCTGCAATTGGCAGAGTTATGACCATTTCCAGATCAGAATCAGGTACCAGGAGACCTTTTTTTTTTTTAAATAAATATATCAGAACAGACACATGTGCACTGCCTGTTGACCATCATCACCTAGGGAAATGCTGCTGAATCCTCCCCAAAGAACAACAGAGCTCATCAACTGCCCTATTCTAAAGCTTTTGTGTTCTTTTGGAAGCCCTGTTTCACCCACCCACATGCTTCTTGTTTCTCAGTTGCCCCATGTGGACTCTGAATGCTGCTGGCACTCACCAGCTGAGGCAGCTATTAGGGGGAATGATAATTACAAGATTCTTTGTTAAAATAAAAATAAATAAACTTTAACTCTTTTTGTAAATCCATTCATCCCTTTTTCACCATCTGCTAGTATCAAGGAAACGACTTTTAAAATAGTGAAATGGTATCATGCCATTATATTCTTTTAAAAAGGTGACATAATATAAGTCAGAAGATAAGGGGCAATAGAGGAGCATGGCTTCGAACTCTTGCATTAAATGATGCCATTGCATGCAGGGGCGGAGGAAGGGCGTGCGGTAGGTACAGCCCATCCCGGGTGTCACCATTGAGGGTATGTGTGACAAAATGCTGGGTGGCACTCACAGCGGGGCCTGCATCCAGCTATGCATCTCTCCTGGGAGAGATGTGGTGGCTTGGACGTGCACAGCCTCCACACTGCCCCAACAGTCCACCCGCTGCCTCGTCGCCCCCCAAGCTGTAGGGCGGCTGAGTGGAAGGAGGCAGGTAGATGCCGGAGGCCCTACGGTGTGCCCCGCCCCTGGGCGTGCCGCCCCAGGCACCCGAGAGGCTCCCTCTGGCACTGATTGCATGCAGCTTCTGGGTGTGCATGTAATTGAAAAGCATCATTAAGGGCTGGATCCTGGCATCTTTTGCATGCCAAAGGGCACAGCAGCAAAAACAGGAAAGGGCATATATATGAGTAAGTTCTACTTGTGCATATTCTGATTTATTAACGTGCATATCCTGATTTGTTAATGGTAGGTAACTGTTTCAAAACACCTCTCTTGGGTAGTTTTGAGTTATACATTATACAATATACATGAGGTTACCAGTAGTTGCTGTATTGATTACAGTCCTGTGGAGAACCAGTGACCTCCATAATTCTCTGGAAAATTCTGGAAGCAGATTCACCCCTTGGAGTGATTGGGAGGTGACTGCCTCTCTGTGTGGTTGCTGTTGTCATGTGATCAGCTTTCTCAGAAGGCCCGTTGTGCATGTCAATCACATTTGCAAAGTGTTCTTTTTCATCAATCCAACATTAACTCCATATGTCTGGGACGCGGGTGGCGCTGTGGTCTAAACCACTGAACCTCTTGGGCTTGCTGATCGGAAGGTCATCAGTTCGAATCCACGCAATGGGGTGAGCTCCTGTTGCTCTGTCCCAGCTTCTGCCAACCTAGCAGTTTGAAAGCATGCCAGCGCAAGTAGATAAATAGGTATCACTGCGACGGAAAGGTAAACAGTGTTTCCATGTGCTCAGGCACTTGTCCTCTGTGCACCAGTAGCAGTTTAGTTATAATGGCTACATGACCCAGAAAGCTTTCTGTGGACAAAAGACGGCTCCCTCGGCCTGAAAAGCGAGATGAATGCTGCACCCCATAGTTGCCTTTGACTGGACTTAACTGTCCAGAGGTCGTTTACCTTTATCTTTACCTATCAACTCCATAGGATTATGGTCTGAAAAATAATGTGCCTCAGGTCACCCAGATGAGCTTTGAATCAGCTACCTGCAGATTGAGCATTGCACTCTTATCTGCTGTACTAAATGATCTGTTACATGTTGACTAATCTTTTGTTGAACTGAGACTGCAGTCCTATGCCCACTTGCCTTGAAAGGTGTCACATGGAAGTCAGTGGAAATACCTTCTGAGAAGTTTGCGTAAGATGATATTGGGAGTTGGGCAAGACTGAACCAATGATATCAATTAGAGAGGATGTTTCTGTTCCTTCCAGGAACGTGTTGTACTTGGTGAAGTGTGGCAACCTATTTAAGCCACACTATCTGCCAATTCATTCTCCAGTATATGATATAGGTTAAAGCACATATTTTTAATCCAGCTTTGTGGAGCCCAGTCTTGTACTCTACGCTGAAAGATGGATTTGCTTCCATGCACATCAAGGATGTGGCTCTTCATAATGGGGGCAGGATTGGTCCAAGCCCTTGTTACTTCAGGAATATTTATGAAAAGAAGAACTGTACACCCAGAAGCTACTATGGATGTTGTAAGCCATCTATCTTTTATTTGCTTAACTCAAGGCATTTTTGGTTATTCGTGCTGCTTAATTGTGCTATATTCCACATACCTAAAGTCTGTTTTTCATGGAATGCTGGGATTGCAGGGGGCAAGAAAATGATGATGATGATGATTTTGAAGTATGTACCCTGCCCTCTCAATGCATCATTGCTCAGGGCAGCTTGCAGCATTTTTGTTTTTTGTTTTTTAAGCATTCTCGAAGTATCTCCAAACATCTGCTTCATGTAACCCAGCGCTCTTTGGGCTTCATTTAGGTATCAGCAATAGCAAGTTTAGCATCTTGCCCTATGCATTATTGTTGCTCAACAGCATGAAGAAAAATCATTAAGTGGTCCACAAAAACCTTCAGCATTTTTCAAGTGGTCCAAGAGGATTGGGTGGAATTTGGGAACCATTGCTATTAAAGATGTAGTCTTCTGTGGAAAAGAAGTGTCCAGGAGTTTTACACTCCCAGCCAAACCTTGCCTTTTCTTTTCTCCCTTTCCGCCAAGGGTGAAATGATTTCCTTCAGAGGATATCCCAGTGAGACATATGAAGTGGTGACAGATGATGGGTATATCCTGAGTATTAACAGAATTCCTCATGGGAAAAGAAATAACCGGGAATCAGGTGAGTGTGTTTTTTGAGGTATTTATTATGTATACATGAAAATACTATGAGGACATTTAAAATTATTATTTAAAAAATGATAAGTTTTTGCTTTGGAATTCATTTACTTATTGCAAGAAAACCTCAACAATCTGTTTGGTTATGGGTGATTATTAATATGATTATATTAATTATATGTTTTGGTCCTATTTTTTCTAAAAAATTCCAAAAAAGGCCATAGATTACCATATGTTCCGGCATACAAGGTGATATTTTATCCCTGGAAAATCACCCCAAAAGTCGGGGGTCGTCTTATACGCCGGTTATACGCGTTGGAAAGGAGGAGAGGGAGCTGGTGAGCAGAGGAGCCCCTTCTGCCGCCACTCCTCCTCCCTCCCCACAGAAGGGGATGCGGAAAGCCCTTCCGAGTGTGGCACTCACCTTCCCGCCATCCAAACGCTTCGCCTCGGGCTGCTGCTGCAACATCAGAGGCAGCAGAGTGGTGTACGCTCTGCCCCTGGCAGTGCTCAAACTCTATAACTCTATAACTCTAAAATTGAACAACAAAAGTTGGGGGTCATCTTATATGCCCAGTTGCCTAATATGCCTAATATCTACGGTAGGTTAAACACATTTTATTCCTTTCTTGAGCTATTAGGTCCTCTGCATGGAGAATATGGAGATATGCTATTGGTGACAGAGAAAAGGCAGAACTGCTTTGCCTCTGTCTTCCTTTTCCTTTTAATAATTTTTTAAAATTAATTTTCACATTTAAACATTATCATTCTATAAACCATAACAAACAACTTCAATAAAATAAAAAATAGAAAATAGAAAATAAAACATCTTCACACCATATTAAATTCATATTTTGGGATTACTCAGATCCCCTGACTTCCCTCCATTTCCTCTCCTAGTTCTTTTATAATATCTTATATTATACATGTCTATAATTTATTAAATTTATTAAAATTTCCAATTTTAAACATTCTTAATATTACAAGTGTTTTTAAAAGCCTGCTATTGTATTAACTTCTTTTACAATGCCTTTGTAAATATGCAGTAAACATTTCCCATTCTTTTTTATATTTGTGGTCTTCTTGATTTCTTAGACTTCCTTCCAGTTAATTTAGCCATTTCAGCATATTCCATTAATTTAAATTGCCAATCTTCTTTGGTTGGCACTTGTTCTTTCCAATGTTGAGCTATCAATATCCGGGCGGCTGTTGTTGCATACATAAACAAGTTTTTATATTCTTTCGCTATATCTATTCCAGTTATTCGTATTAAAAAGGCTTCTGGCTTTTTAACAAATGTTATTTTTAACATTTCCCCCCCAATTCGTTATAAATCTTTTCCCAGAAACTTATTATAACCTTACATTGCCACCACATATGGTAAAAAGTGCCTTCTACTTCTTTATACTTCCAGCACTTATGATCTTTTGTCTTATGCATTTTTTATAATTTAACCAGAGTTAGATACCATCTGTACCTCGTTTTCATATAATTCTCTTTAAGAGCCGTACATGCTGTGAATTTTATATCATTTTTCCATAATCTTTCCCAATCTGTCATCTGTATATTATGTTCCACATCTTTTGCCCTTTTTATCATAACACTTTTGACCTCTTCGTCCTTTGTTTCCCATTCCAACAAAATATTATACATTTTTTATTGTTATTTATATTCACTTTCTATTATTTTTCTCTGGAATTTTGAAATTTTATATGCAAATCCTTTCTTTTTATTTCTTTTAAATGTTTCATTTAATTGAAAATATTGTAACCAATCTGTTACCTCTTCTTTTATTTCATTATATTCCTTTAATTTTAATTTATTATCCACTTCCATTAACAGCTCTCTATATGTTGCCCAGTTGGGTTTATTTTTTTGAATGCTATTGCTTCCAGTGGCAAAAGCCACCATGGTGTTTTTTGTTCTAATAGATCTTTATATTTCCCCCAAACTTGAAAAATTGCCTTTCTTATTATGTGGTTCTGGAAGCTTCTATGTACCTTGGCCTTCTGTTAATAAGCCTACATTCTTTAATGTTATCCAATCCTGTATCCAACACAAACAAGAGGCTTCATAGTATAATTTTACATCCGCTAGTGAGAAGCCTCCTCTTTCTTTAAGGTCTGTTAATAATTTATATTTTATTCTTGGCTTCTTGCCTCTCCAAATGAATCTTGAAGTATGTCTCTGCCACTCTTTAAAGCAATTCACATTACTTATCACCAGGATTGATTGAAATAAAAATAACATTTTTGGCAATACATTCATGTCAGCTTCATTCCGGAGCTGACAGAGGCTGGGAATGAGAACAGACAAAGAGAGATAAGGACACGGGAATGTGAGCTGGAATGTGAGAGGGAGGAGGGGCAGCCTAGCGGCATGGCTTCAGAGAACAGAGAGCAGGCAGCAGATAGCAATGGTAATCTGATCCTTGAGCATAGTGACCAAGGAAGGGAGAGCCAGAGCAGGGATAAACAAAATACCAATCTTAGCTCAGAAACAGATGGAGAGAGGCCAGGAATAGCCAGCCCAAAAACTCGAAGGCGCGAAAAGGTCAGTGAGAGGAGGGGAAAAGAGCGGAAGTGAAAGGGTTTTTTCCCCTGTTGGAAGAAGAGGAAGGGGTGGAGTTTAGACTTGGCAACTGAGAACTTGGAGTCAGACACAGAGTGAAGGAGCTCCAGAGTGATTTATGCGTTTGAGCAATAAACCTGAGATAATTACTACCGGTGTCTCGCTTCTGTGGGAGAGCCAAGCCATTACAATTCATCTTAACTACCCCTTTCCTTCCTAGTAAAGATAAATTCATTCTTCCCCAGATTTCTAAATTTATTTTTATTTTTTCCATATTTTTCCATAATTATCTTTTAATATATTAATATTTTTGCTGTTAACCATATTCCCAAGTATTTCACTTTTTATATATCATTATTTCTGTCACCTGCTGTAACTCTTTTTTATCCTGTTCTGGAATATTTTTTACTAGGAGCTTTGTTTTATTTTTATTTAATTTAAAGCCTGTTACCTGTCCATATTTTTGTAATTTTTCTAATACTTTTAATAATGAATTAATCGGGTCTTCTACCATGATCACTAAATCATCCACAAATGCCTTCAATTTATATGACTTATTTCCTACAGTTATTCCTCTAATATCATCATCTGCTCTTATATCTCTCACCAGTACTTCTAAGACTAAAATAAACAATAAAGGTGATAGGGGACATCCCTGTCTTGTTCCTTTTGTAATTTCACACTCTTCTGCAATTACATTATTAATTATTAATCTCACTTGTTGTTCTGAATATATAGCTTCTATTCCTCTTTTAAATGTTTCTCCAAAGTTCATTTCTTCCAGAACCTTTAACATAAAGGTCCAGGAAACATTATCAAATGCTTTTTTCATATCTAGAAAAATCATTGCTGCTTGTTTTTCATTTTTTACTTCCAGATATTCAAAAATATCTACAAAATATTCAATTTTTTATTTGGATTTTTTGGCAATTTTCCTTGGTCTTATATATCTTGTCATGACTAAAAATTCGCTGCTGTTTCTTTAATGCTAAAAGAACTAAGTCAGCATGAGTCAGTAGCCTACAATGACTCATGCAACCTTTCACCTAATTGTACCTGTATATATAGAGTGGTCAATGTTGGTGTGGTTGTGGGTTGGTTGGTGGAAGCTGGTAGTGTTGATGTGTGTACAGTTGGTCGGTTGTTTTTGCAGATAAAGGCTTTTAAGAATAAAAGCAAAAAATACTCTGCAAGGACACTCTTCTTGTGGACTCTTTTATGCCGACAAGGGTCCGAGGACCAGGCTGAGGAGACAAAGGAAGTCAGAACCTTTGCTTTTTCAAAACACTGACATATCTTTCTATTTCTATTTTATCTTCTTGTCCAGCTCAGTATAGGTCCTAAAAACATTTGGTAAATTGTTTTCTAATCTCTCTCGGGTTATCAATTATCTTATCTTTAACTTTTATTTTATTTATCAAATTGCCAGCTTTCCTTTTATTCAATTGCCACAACAATAGCTTTCCTGGCTTGTTGCCCTGTTCAAAATTTCTTTGTCTCATTCTCTTTATTTTCCATTCTACTTCCTGATTATCATTGAATATTGAGTTTGTAACATTTTGATTGCTTGTTTAATTATTTCTGTCTTAGGTTTGCTTATTAACTCTTTTTCCTTTTCAATACATCCAAATTCCACCCCTTCTGTTCCCTAATCTTTCTTTGATATGCATTTTGGTTAATAAAAAACCCCCCTCTTATTACTGCTTTACTAGCACCCCACACTATTCTGATATTTGTACCTTTATTACAATTTAATTCAAAATAATTTTAAAGCTTTTTCAGCTTTCCCCATTATTTCTTGATAATCTAGCAATTCTTCATTTAATCTCCATTTAAAAGGTATAATTCTTTCTCCTTTTATTTCTAAAATTATTGAATTATGTTCTGAGAGAGTTCTTGATTATAATTCCACCTTTTTTATCATTAAAATTATTTATTTTGAGGCCCTTACTGAGTTGATCCTGTCCACTGGACTGAAAATATATTATCTGAACAGAAAATATATTCTCTATCTAGCTGATGTTTAAATCTCCAAGTATCAATCAGTTTTAAATTTTCTACAGTGTTAAAAAAGGTTAATGGCAATTTCCATTCTAAATTTATAAAGAATTCTGGTTACTTTTCATTTGGCGTATAAATTCCAACTATGATTATCTTTTCACCCTGTAATGTAATTTGCATTCCTTCCTTCTTCATCTTTAAATAAAAATTCTGGCTGAAATTTTGACCTAATGTACAACACTACTCCTCTCTTTTTTATTTTGTCTGAGGTTATAAATTCCACACCCATCTTTGGATTTATCAATATTTTCCTGTGTTTTTTTTTTTTTTTAAATAATTTTTATTGCATTTTTTCAGACACAGACAGAAAACAGTAGAAGAAAAAATAAACGAAAAATGTAAAAGAAAAAAGAAAAATCATACCCCTTCAAC